TTTGTGAGGGTCGGGAGGACATTGGAGGCCAGGGGCCTTAGGAGTAAAAGCTTGAAACAGGCTTTGGGGAGCATTTCCTCTGAAAGTAGATTTGAGCTCCTATTAAACTTGCCAAAAATTTGTGTTAGCTAATGGATTCTTAATTCTGTCTAAAATGAGAGAGGGAAAATTATGCCATTCATCTTGTATTGGTTTGAAATTACATCTGACACCTAATCGATCATCCTGTGGAACATTAACTCTTTGGAAGAGACCCAACTTTTCCTCTCTTCCTTGCTTTCCAGCGCTCTCGAGCCACCCCCACCCCGATTCCTTCTTTTGTATTTCATTAAATAAGCAAGGCTCTGCCTGTCTCTGGGGTTGAGGGGTGGGAGTTAGGGAAAGGGCTCATTTGAATCAAAGGAGATAACCAGCACCCCCCAATCTTTTGCGGGAGACCAGACCCCCTACTTCCAACCTTCAAGTGACCTCCTCTCTCTGCTTTTTCCTATGCATTCTGCGATCTAGAAACGCAGAATGGAAGGCTTTGGGGTGTGGGATGACCTCAGAGCCACCTTGGGGGCACCAGGGAGAGGCGGGGAGCCAGGCAGAGCAGAGCTAGCACCTGGGGCAGGGGCAGGGGCGGTGGTGGGGGGCTCACCTGCGACTTGCCTGGCAGATGGGTGAGGAGGAGGAGCACAGATGACAATAGATTTGCCTCTGGGGATCCTGATGCGTTCTGACTGAAAACCCCAACCCCAGACCTGCTTTTCCAGGAGGAGGACTTTCTGGCAGCAGGGGGACCGCACTGGAGGCAGACAAACCTGGGCTGGGATCCTGGCTCCACTCCTGACACGCTGTGTGACCTTGGGCAAGTTACATAACTCCTCTGTCTCAGTTTCCTTCTCTGTCAGAGCAGGATAGTAAGACTGGCACAGGGCTGGGGTGAGATCTGCATGAGATGATCCAGGTGAAACTGGGGCAGAGCCCATAGCCTGGCACATAGTAGGCACTTGATAAAGGTGACAGTCACTCCCCTCCCCACTTCTGCGGCTCCCCCTCTACCCCTTTCACCTTCTTCTCTCCCGCCTCCAATTCCCTGAACCCTCCTCAAGGCAGAGCTACGGCTGAGAAGCCACAAGGTTAGATCAGGCCACGAGGGCCAATGTCTCCTAAAAGAACACCTGAAGGAGGACTGGGCCTCCTGGGTTTCTGCAGAACCCTCCGCCCTCTTCCTTCCTGGACCTCCTCTATCTGCTCCAAAAGTTGTGGGGGGTTGTCTACTGCATGGAGAGCTCTCTCAGCAATCCCCATGCTGCCCAGAAGGTGGAGTCTCTTGCAAAAGGGGCATTCTAGGAGGTGAGGTCAGGAGGAGGGGACGCTTCAGCTGAAAGATAGCCACCTGCTTTCACTCACGCATCCCAGATTTTACAAGAGAAAGGTGGATTGAGCTGGGAGTGGGGGCTTGGTCCCTCAAGAGCCGCGGTTCTCAACCTTCCTAATGCCGCGACCACTTAATACAGTTCCTCATGTTGTGGTGACCCCCAACCATAAAATTATGTTCATTGCTACTCTATAACTGTAATTTTGCTACTGTTATGAATCGTAATGTAAATATCTTTTTGTTTTCCGATGGTCTTAGGCGACCCTGTGAAAGAGTCGTTGAACCCCAAAGGGGTTGCGACCCACAGGTTGAGAACCGCTGCTCAAGAGCAAAGGAAGACAAAGGGCATCAGGTGGGTGTGAGAGAAGCGAGGGGCAGGGAGTCCCACCTCTATTCCCCAGGAGGCACAATGATTTCTCCCTTAGGTTGGCTTTGGGTACTATGGGAAGAGAAGTTTCCAGGACCCTCCAGCTCCATGTGAAGGGGGGTCACACAGAAGAAATGTAGCATGCAGCTAGCCTCTGGCACAGGACAGCATGTGAGAGTGGTGCTGAGATGCCTGTTTCATGGAAATCTGGGCAGTCTCTGGACCCTTCTCAGTGTAGGTCTCACTCTCAATGAGCACCCACAAATACCCGAATGAATGTGCAGGTGAAGGACAGGGGCTGGTTTAAGGGACCAGTCAAGGTCACATAAGGAATCACTAGCTTCTATCAGGTATCTGTTCCAAATGGCCTAAAATGCCCCAGCTGCATTCTTGGGCCTTGTGGAAGACCCCCAACTTGAGAACTAGGAATGATGGGGAAACCTCATTCCATATCCTCATTTCCCAGAGGAGGAACCCAGGACTAAGAAAGTGGGTCTACTGACCAGGAGAGTGAGGTAAGGCAGCCGAGGACATAGGCCTCTGGCTCTCAGTCCAGTGCTCCACTCCACCTGTATCATGAATCTGAAGGGACACTTTCCAGGCCACTTGTCCAGTCCCAGCAGAGTCTACACTGTGTCTGGGGAGGGGCCTGGAGTTTGGGAAGTGAGGAAAGCTGCTGAGAGAGGCTTTCCCTGGAGAGAAAAGAGCAGAGGGGGCTGGGGAGGTTTCTTAACTCCCTCTCCCACCCCCAACACACATACAAACACAGACTGGCAAGAATTTTATTTCCAAATGTCCCTTCTCTGGGGAGCTTGCTGTTTCCCAGGAGACGCCTGGTGGAGATGTCCCTTCCTGCCAGGCTCCCTGGCAGCCACTAGGCGGCTGTGGCTCCCTCTTCTGCCTAGAGATGCCAGAGCGAGGGTCCCACGTGGTTTGTATTAGTAGGAAGTGGAGCCCAGGTCTATTGGTGCTGAGGATGGAGCAGGCCAGCCAGGGGTGGGTATGCAGCCAGGCCAGTGAGTAAACTGAGGGAGCCACTCACAGGGCCATACTGATCAAGGGCGCTGGGCAGCATGACCCAAGGCAGGTCAGCCTAGACACATGTGCTGACCTGCCTTTGGTCACCAGAGGAAAAAAAGTCCTCCCTGACATCTTTTTTTCCCAAACTGGGAATGTTTTTGTTGTGTTTTACTTTAAATGTAAAAGTAATGCATGATTGTTATAAAAATAGATAATTCCAACAAAATGGAATGAACAAAAGCTCCAGATTCAAATTTTAGGATCTGTCTTTTCCCCCCTAGGAAAGCAATTAGCCTCTGGCTGAAGAGTCAGGCAAGAGACTGCTGTGTTCAGGAAAGAGGGGGAAAGGATCATAACATTGTGGAATGTGCTAGAATCTGGGAGGTCCTCCTGTTCAAGCAAATACCCTTGTATTAAAGAGGCTGACATGTGTGTCTGTATGTTTTTCCCCAGATCAGTGAGTGGCTTCAGAGTGCAGTTCTTCCTACCTACTCTGTGTTATTCCCACACTCCCACCTGCTGGGTGCACCATGCTGCCCCAGTGTGGTCACCTAGGAAATATGGGTTGGAAGAATAAATTAATGAACTCACAGATGAGGGAAGAGACCCAGATATAGACAGTGAATTGCCTGAGTGGCCCAGATCATAGTCCCAAACACGACTGCCACAGGTCTGGAAAAACTGGCCTCAAGTTCTCCATCAGCTTCCTCTTTCCCAGGGCTGAGGGGAGCTAAAGGTTGGAGTTTGCCAAAAAGGGCCAAGCCTATCTAAGAAATTGCCCAAGTCTGGCCTTTAAACAGGATAGGGCTGAGGCACTAGAGGGAGACTGACAGGGCTTGCAGAGGTCCCACAGAGAGAGAGAGGGGGGGATAGGAGTGGTGTGAATTTAGGCCTGATGTGAATTTAGAAATTAAATCCAAGCCATGCCAATGAGGTGGAGGGCAGTTTTGCCCTTTTGCCCCTCTACCCTGACAAGGAAGCAGCACAGCCTGGAAGGTGACAGGTCAGCTTCTAATGAATGGGATTTAAGCAGAAGGAGAAGACTTACCTCTTTCAAGAAGAGAGAAGAGATCTACCCAACACAGTAGCAGGGATGGAAGCCTGCTCCTCACCTCCCTTTCTCCTTCTTGCCAGATAACTTAGGTAAGGCCCTGCCATCAACATATTATTCCATTTAGCCGTTGGCAACTGTCAGGGAGGTCGTACCCCTATTTTACAGATGAATAAACCAAGGCTAAGAAAGGTAAAGTGATCTGTCCAGTTCACAAACCAAGTGGTAGAACTAGGAAGACCCTCAGCCTCAGGCCTGGCCCCCGATGCTCTTTTCACTGAGGCCTCACCTCAGCACCTGGTTTGGGCGGGGGGTGGTGTCACAATTTTGTGGCCAGACCACCCCTGCTAGATTTGGGGGCAGGTTCTCGAACTCATAGAAGCCCCTGGCCTTCCTTTAGGCTCAGATCCTTGAGGTGTCCTGTTTTGTTTGGGCAGACCCTGTCCCTGCTTTTCCTGAGAACTGTACTTAATGCGACCCGGGGGCATGTGGTGAGGCATGTACCACCAGACCTTGACCCACGTGATCAGTGCTCCTCGAATATGTCACCTTTCCTTTTTGGCCAAGGGTTATTCTCCCAAAGTTTTCAGTCCATCGCCGTTGATCCCTCCCCACCCCAAAACCTCTCCGTTTCCTCCTGGGGAAGGCGCCAAACCTTTGCTGAGCGCAGGCCGGAGATCGAAACCTGCGGCATTCCTGGCCCAGGGCTTGATACCGTGGTCGGGAGCACCGAGCCCCACACAGCTCCGCTCCTCCTTGGCGCCCAACCCCCTGCCAGGGGGGCAAAGGCCAGGCTGGCCCTCCCTCCCTCCCTCCCTCCCTGCCCAGCCAGCTGCAGCAGGGCACCGAAGGGCCCGCAGCCTGAGGAGCGGCTGGGAGCGAGGGCCCGGGAAGGGGCCCGCAGATGCCGCCTCCACCCCCCTTCCTTGGCCGGGGCCCCCACGGTGTCGGGGAGCAGGAGGAATCAATCAGGATAATGAAGCCGCAGCCTGCCACGCACCGCGGGGGCACTGAGGACTCGGGGCCGGTGCCAAGTCCGCCAGACGGTTCGGAGGAGCCTGGCCCGACGCGGCCCGGCGACGGCAGCGGCGGCGGCGGCGGAAGCACGGAGCCTGCGCGCGGAGGCCGGACGCAGCTCCGCGCAGGCCCCTGGCAACCGCGCCTTGGCAACCGGGACGCCCGAGAGGAATCTTAAAGCTGCAGCGGCTCCTTTCCTCGCCGCCGCCGCCGCCTCCTGGCCTCCAGGGGAGAGGATCGTGCCCAGAAGTGCTGATGGTGGGAGTCAGGTTCTGTGCCTCTCGGGACTTGGGGGTCCGACTCATACCCTCACTTGTTTATTTATCAAATGTAGATCGAGCCTACGTGCCCAAGCACGGGCTAGACAATGGGGAGGGAAACGGGCAGTGATTAAAAAATGAACAAGGTCCTGCCAAGAGGAGTTCACAGTCTAGCGTGCCAGGCGGACCAGACTGGCTGAGGTGAGCAAAGCGATGTTACTCAGGATAAAGAGGTTTCGACTGGAGGGCTAAGGGACTGTTACAAAATATTCCTGCAGTACCTGCCTTGCTCCAGGTCCAGGCCATGGGTTAGACGCTTCTTTCCTGGATTGTCTTACTATCCCAACAGCCCTGTGAGATGGGTATTATTATCATTATCATCGTTATCAAAACCACTTTAAAGATGAAGAATTACAGGCCCAGAGAGGTGAAGGTACTTAGCGAAAATCTCGTTTTATGTTTTGGACAATTTAGGACTGGGTCCCAGGATTTCTGACCCTGGCCAGCTTTCATTACAGCGTGATGTCTGGAAGGTCAAACCTGAGGGCGTCCCAATACAAACTGTGTAAGAGCTGAGGTGAAAGGGTAGCTAAAGGAAAAGATGGCTACTTTCCCCTTCTGCTGCCCACTACCCTGACGCTGTCTGCCTATATGTGGGCAGAGGGCTTGAAGAGGTGACCTCCAGAGGTCTCCCTGGTTCTGTGATTTGATATCTCCTGTTTGAAGTCCAGGCACTGTGCCACCCTTCTGGGCAGCAGTAGTTGGCAGGGGGCTGAACACTGGGGGGAGAGTCCAGGCTTCTGAAACAAGGGGTCAGGGGTGGTGGGGGACGATTAGAGGGATGGTAAGGGGGCTTTGGCAAAAGAAAGCCTGAGTCAGTATCAGTAGGAGAGCTGGGCCTCATCTTTGCTTCTCTTGTTCACCTGTCTTTCTCTTTCTGCATATTCATTCAGGTAAGAAATTTGTGCCAGGGCCTGGGGTAGGCTTGGAGGCTCTTGGTGAAGCAAAAAGCATGCTGGCTTTGAATGAAGCCAAGCCAATCTAGTTTCAAATCCTGGCTCTGTCACTTAATCAGCTATGTTAGCTTGAGCAGGTGACTTGAGCTCCCTGAGCCCATTTCAGTTTCCTCATCTGTACAGTAGAGGCATTATTACCTACTTTTCAGGGTTATTGTGAGACTTCAATGCAGTGAGAATAATGTATGTATGGTGTCTGGCACATGATAGACGCTTAACAAATTGTAGATGCTTAACAAAGTTAAAGATATCTTTGCTTATTTTGGTAGTATGATAATGGCTCCCAAAGACATGTCCACATCCTAATCCCCGGAACCTGTGAATGTTACCTTATCTGGAAAAAGAGTCTTTGCAGATGCGATTAAGTTAAGAATCTTGAGATGGGGAGATTATCCTGCCTGTATCTGGCTGGGCTCTAAATGCCACCACAAGAGTCCTTATAAAAGAGGCAGAGGGACATTATACACACAGAAGAGTAGAAGGCAATATGAACACAGAGGCGAAACTGGAGTGACAGGGCCACAAGCAAGGGAATGCCAGCAGCCACTAGAAGCTGAAAGAACAGATTCTCCCTTAGAGCCTCCAGAGAGAGCACAGTCCTGCCAACACCTTGATTTTGGCCCAGTGAAACTGATGTTGAACTACTGGCCTCCAGAAATGTGAGAGAATAAATTTATTGTTTTAAGCCACCAAAGTTGCGGCAATTTGTTACAGCAGCCTTGGGAAACTAATGCACTTAACATTGGAGATTCCATCTTCATCTTGAACAAAACCTAGCACCTGCCCTTTAGGAGTTCAGTCTAGTGGGAAATGAGAGAAGGGATGCCCAGAAGGTGAAAGGGTAGGTAGGTATGGCTGCTGGAGTTAGAGTTAGCCAGGGAAGGGGCTAAAGCAGGAAGGGCATTCCAAGCAGAGGAAACTGTGTGGGTCAAGGCACAGAGCAGGAGAAAACACTGCCTTCGGGAAACTGTGTATGTTTGAGACGGCAGGTACATGGGCATGTGGGGGGTATCGTGACAGAACTGCTGAAGTGGGTAGAGGGGCAAGAGAGCCAAGAAGCTCCCACCCCAGAATGGAATCAGTCCCTCACCCTGTGCTGGCACTGGACCTCAGGTCAGAGAACCCTAGACTGTCAGTACTGGACAGAAGCCTTAGAGACCATCTAGTCCAGTCCTGCCATCTCACACATAGGGAAATTGAGGGCCATAGAGAGTGAGTCCATCCAGGGAATAAGCTAGAACCAGATGGCTGTACCCTGGCCTCTCTCTTGAGCCTGAGTGTCCCATGTCTGAGGATCTCAGAGACACTGCCTAGTGGTCCTCTCTAGCCTACCTTCAAAAAGCACAGGTCCTGTGGTCTCTAAACCAAGGGGAGTGATTTGCATATTATTTGCATGCTGCTAATTAGACCAGAGGCAGATTTACTCAGCCCCTTTTCTTCATGTCCCCTTCCACTGTCCTATCTCACTCCCATTGAGTTCTTCTTCCTCATCCATCTCGGGACCTCAGCAACTTCTCCCATAATTCCAGCCCAGGCCTCACGCCTCAAGGCCCCTTACCTCGCTCCACCCATCCCCTACTGTCTTAAGTGTTTGGTCCCACCTGGAAAAGGTACCTGGTGGGTTTTTAGCATATCTAGTCTGGATGGGGAATCTGGAGCAGGTCACCGTGGAAAGGAAGATGATGGGCTTTCTAGTTCGAGGTTTTCTCTGGGAATGGGGAGCAGTGAGTTCTGTCTCCCTGCAGCCCAGGGGCCACCAAAATGGGGCTATGGAGTTGGGCAGGAGGGTGCTCCTTGGGGAGCTGGTGGGCAGGTGCCAGTTGCATGCCCTAGGCCTGCCCCAAGCCTCTTGGCTGGCAGCCACACCAGCCCATGGTGGAGTTGGCTCCTTCTTTGAGGGAGGGAGAATCCTGGAAAAGGTCGGGGAGCATCCTTTAGCCTGGCAGCCTAACACTGGTTAGGTTGAGGTTGCCATGCAAGTTACTGTGGTTCCTCCAATGGGGACGGCACATCCAGATTCTTGGGGCTGTCATCAATCCAGCCCAACTGGGCTGTGAGGCACTGTGCTAAACTAAGCACAGCCTTTCCTTGAGGGTAGGCCCTCAGGAAATGTTTTCTGATAATGAGGGGCCACCTGCTCCCTGGAGACAGGTAAGGAGAAAAGGTCACAGAGGCACAGATTCTGCCTCTCTCACCTCCCATTAGCCCGTTTTCCCTCTGAAACCAAGGCTCTACCCAGCGCCTCTCCTAGGTGAGAGGTTGAGCCTGTCATCTGATGGTCACCAGAGAAGGTACCACACTGTAGCCAAGACAGGAGCACAGGTGCCCCCAGAGTTGCTGTGGGGCTCTGTCACCCTACGGCTGACTCAAGGTAGCTGCTCAGGAGCTAGAGAATGTTGGTGCCTTAGGATTCATGGAAAAACCTGGAGCACAGCTCAGGCTAGCAACTTGCAGAAACCAGCTTGCTCTGCTGAGAACGGGGGCCTGGATATGGAAAGAAAGACTTCCCTGCATATGTGAATAATTCCTCTCCATGCATAGGTGATATGTGAGCTGTGTGAACACGTGCTACAGGGGGCCTCAGCAAGCATCCTGACCTGCATACACAGCTGTGTGCACATATCCCAGTCTGAACAACTGTATGTTGCACGTGAGTGTCTTCATGGAATTCCACCTTCCTTCTTCCCTCCTCTGGGCTTTCTCTTCTTGTTTCCAGGTAAAATGGGAAGCGGGGGTAGGCACGGCAGCTTCACCATCCCCAGCCCTGCTCCCTTGCGTACAGAGTCCCTGCGTCCATTTTCCCATGACAGCAAGCAGATCCCTTCTTGGTCCTGAGTAAGGGGATCCCAGCTCCTTACTGACCTAGATGATTCCATCTTGCACCAATTCCTCTGCTCTGGTAGCTCCCTGTTCCCCTTGTGTGTCCCATACCACTCCCTCATCTAGTGTCCAAGTCAAAGGGAGAGGTGGGAAGAACTGGGGTGATGCTATGGGAGTGGGAGTAGGAAAGGTGGATCAGATACTGTTCGATTTTGCCCGGGTCCCTCTGGAGCACTGCTGCTCATTTAAAATTCCGATTTAAAGCCGAGCAGCTCTTTAAATTTCCACATTAGCATGCCGCCCTGATGCCAGGCCAAGATGTTGGGATGGATTTGGCAGGAACGCCTCCAACAGCGGCAAGCAGCAGCATTTGCCAGCAATAAAACAACGCATGAATAAAAGAAGGCCAGCTTGGCAGCAGCAGCAGCCCAGGTAGCTGGGTGAGCCCAGGAGAGGCCCACATATATGGGGGCTCAGAGGCATGAAGGCCCATGCAGGGGCATGTGTGAGTGTAGGCCTCCGTGGCTGTCTCGGCCCTCACCCTCAATCTGTGCCTGCAGTGGAATCTGAGGGGAGGGCTGAGGCAAGACAGGGGTTGCTCCCCTGTGCCTGTCTCATTCCCCTCCCTCCAGGGTTATCTTCTCGGAGGAGACAGATGTTGCCTTTGATGAGGACACAAGGACTTGGCCCACAGCCCGAGTTGTCCTACTTCATTACGGGCCAGAGAACAGGTAGGGTCAGAGAGAGCAACACTGCCTAGAGTAGATTCCGAATCCATGACCCCCAGTACTGGGTGCTGAGGGGCACTCTCGGGACAAGGGGACTGGGCGAAAGCTGCTGTGAGGACTGAGTAGTGGTGTTGAGCTGGGTGGGAGAGATGCTCTGGGCTGGGCAGTTGGCTAGAATGGGGAGTGGCCAGGGAGAGCGAGGGGCTGCAGGGCCTGGCCTAACTTGATCTTCCTGCAGACTTGGAAATATTGTTTGAGGTCAGATGGCAAGGGCAGAGGGTCAGATGAAGCCCTGGGCTGAAGGCTGGCTACCTCCCAGAGGTTATTTTGTCCACCCTGTGCCTCTCAGAGTCTAGAGTATGCAGCCCCAAAGGACTTGAGGCCGCTGGGTCCTGTGTTCTTCTGCTCCAGGCCCCTGGCTGAGGCTCCTCACCAGCCATGACCAGGAAAAAGCTCTTACTGCTCTTACCATCTATCCCTCCCACCTGCTCAAACCATCCCCTTCCCTGAAGTCCTGGGGAAGAAGACAGAAGCAAACAGAGGGGAAGCAGCAGATGGTCTCTGCAGTCTCAGCTAAGGCAGACAAGAGGGACACCCTTCTCCGATGGAACTCCTCCCAGATCACGGGTGATTTCAAGCCCGAATATGGGGAGAAGTTGTTGGGACTCTGAATTCTCTCAGTCCCTGGAGGAGCTGAAGAGCAGACAGGCAGGCGGGCCAGGCTCTGGTAGGGCAGAGGCCTCATAACCTGGAACTTGAGCCAGTCCTGTCCTGATGGCTTTTTCCAGGGAGAATAAGGTGGCCTGATCTCTCAGGTACCCTGTCCCCTGGTCCACACATTGTGGGTATGTCAGCCCTGGGGTGAGGGAGTGGCTAAGAAGCTGAGTTTAGGCCAGAGAGATGTCATTTTGTCATTTATTCATTCATTCAACAAATATTTACCAACAGCTGCTTTGTGCTAGGCACTGTGCTGGGCCCTGGAGCACGCTGGTGAGCAGGCAGACATGGTCATTGTCCTCGTGGAGCTTCCCACCTGGGGGGGGAGGGGAACAGGATCATTATTCAAATGACAACACAAGTAAGTGTGGAATAACTGTGCTAAGTGCTCTGAAAGGATATATAGTACCATGAATGTATATGATCGAGGGACTTGGCTGAGTCTAAGGAGTGAGGATGAGCTTGCAAAGGAGACAGAGAAAGAGCAGCCAGAGTGGTAGGAGAACTGGCAATGACATAGAATCAGAGGAGGAGGTGGTCAACTGTGCCGAGAGATGCTGAGAGCTCATGAGACGTCTATTCGTCCTGACTCCTCACCTGCTAGTTTTGACTACAGGTATGGAAAGGCTCTGGCATCGTGCCTGGCTCACAGTTGGTGCTCTGTAATGTTAGCTCCCTTCCCCCCACCCTCCCTAAGCTACGCCTCCCTCTAGGGACCCCCGATTTCTGGAACAAAGGAGCTGCCTGGGCTCAGCTTCCTCATCAACTCAGGCCCAGCACCCCAGCCATCCAGTCCTCAGTGAGGGACCCTGGGCCTCACCCTGCCTCGCCACATCAGTCCCTTCACATGGAATCCTACCAGTCTCCAATCTACTTCCTCCTTTGTATTGGTCTTGAGGGGCTGGGGTCTAGGTCTCAGAGAAAGATGCCATTCTGGCTCTGCTTCTGGGGCTGAGTCTGAGAAGGGAAGAGGGTTGGATTCCTCAGCAGCTCCCAAAGCTGCCCAGGGTCAATCTGAGTGTCTTAGGTAGGGAGAGGGGGAGTCGTGGGGAGATGGGGAGGGGGGCTGCCCACCCAAGGCGGCGTAGAGCCCAGAGCCTTTTCCATCACAGACACCCCATCTGTCTCTCACAGAAGGCTCGGGTTGGAGGAGGTGCCGAGAAGGGGGGTATGGAGGGTGAAATTTTACAGTCTGTGAGCTAGCACGACGGCAGTGAAGGTGCTGACCTAGAAGGGTAGAGGGTCAGAGTGGGGTATTGGCAGGGCTTCTAGAGGTCAGAGGTTGGGACTGGAGGTGGGGAAGATGGTAGGAAACACTGCATACTACTTTCCCTGGACAGCTTTGTGTTTGATTTTGATTTATAGCTCCCCACCCCACCGACCAGAGGGCAAAGAATCATACCTCTCTGGCCAAAAAACTACCGGCATTCCTAAGCCCAGGGCTGGCTGGGCTGGATGCGCGATGCCTCCCTCTCCCCAACAGTTAGACCTTTTCTAGAACTTAAAATAATATTTTAGTTAAATTTGAGTTTTCAGAGTGTTTTATTTCACATATAACTTTAACTGATCCTGCTAAGGTCCAAGGAGGTAAACATTATTATTCTTGATCTACAGATGAAGCAACAAGGGGTTCAAAAGATTAAGTGAATAACTTGGATCACCGGAGAATAAGGAGGGGGGGTCCCAGACCAGGTCTCCTGACTCTACATTCAGACACTAGACACTAGACACTAGGCTACACTTAGGCCTTCCTTGCTCCTCACTTTTGGTGATATTGTACAGCCCCCACTGCTAGGTAAGGTCTGGGACTTTCTAGGAGAGAGCTCAGACGCACTCCTCCCCCATGACTGAAAACTTTTGGGAGATACCCAGGCTTTGTTGGACACACACTGACACAGCCCCCTACTGAATATAACATCCAGACACTAGGAAACTGGACATCCCCAGAGGGATGGGCCTCCCACATATAGAAATATGAGAGGGCTACAGACTAAAAGTTGTCAGGAAGGAGGGGCAGGGTGTGGGGAGTGGAAAATGCCAGCCTAGGAAGCAGCTGTTAGGGTCCACTCCTGGTCCTGGAAAGGTCACTTAGGAATCCCTGTGGGCATCCTCTCTCCACATTCCAAGTTCTAAATACTCCATGTTTCCCCCCACCCCCAACTATACTTAACAGAATATGATTCCACAGCTTCCCTACCTACTCGTCTTTTCTCCCACTCTTCCATGTTTGGAAGTTCTTCCGCAGGTATAACTTGATTTCCTCAGGCTGCAGCTTGATCCCTCTACAAGCACTCTAAAACAGGTGCCAGGAGAACCCAAGACAGGCCTTCAGTTATTAGATATAAATAGACAGGGGAGGGGAACTGAATATAGAGACAGATATTATATCTCTTGGTCCCTGGAAGTTATTAGGAAGAAGGCACTAGTGGTTGCTAAGCAACAGGTCTCCATAGAGGACAAGGCACTGAGAGGAAAAGCCTCCTTTGACTGAATATTGGGGTGAGAGGGTAGGGAAGGTGGGGGGTTCAAAGGGCTGTGGAATGGCAGGCAGGGCTGCAGAGAATGATAGGTTTGTCCTCCAAGACCAGCTCTATTCCCTGGGCCTTAGCAAACTCCGCCTTTGCAGCCTTCAGGATTGGTAGAAGGAAGGAAGGCCTGAGGCACTCCTCCCTTCCTGCCAGAAGGAGGGAACCTGGTTTCCATAGCAACCCTGAAACAATCCTGGCCTTGTTTTGCTTATGGCTTCTCGGTAGCCCCCTCAGGGAGCATTGACTATCATAGACCCTTTTCTCTGACCCCCAACTTCTGATTTGAGGCGGAAAGCCCATAGAAAGGTAAGGGGAGGGGCCGGGGGTTCCACAAAGCTGGTCTCACTTTGCCCTCATGTGACCATTTAAGATTCTAAAGGGGCAGTGCCTTTTCCCGGAAGGGCTTCCAGGTGTCCTCTGACCTCTGCACCTCCTAAGGAGCTACAAAAAGCAGGGCCAAATGGTGGCGTCAGAGGCAAATTCTGGATTCAGGCTTGCTTTCTAAAAGGGCTAGTCCAGACTGGGGTTGGAGATCAGGAAAGAATGAGGGGGTAGGGTCTTTTGGGCCCCTTGGCCACCCAGACCCCCATCCTCCTCAACCTGAAGTCCACTGTCATCAAGGCCAGAGAATGGAGATATAGAACATTAACGTATGTCAAGTATAAGTGAGTGGCACCGAGGGGCATAATCTGTTTTTCTAATATGACCACAAGCAGAGTGTTAGAAGAATTAGGCCGACAGCTGCTGGTCCCCCCCCACTTCTGCCCCCCCTCCTCGCTCTCCCTCTCCCTTCCTCCTCGGCGTTTGCACACACCAATGGCAGCCGGGGCCTGCTCGCGATTTCTCTTAATCTTCCTCCACCATCCTGCGCTCTTTCCGCAGGCGGTGCTGCGAAGCCGGCAGAGCCCCGCGTCACACCTTACTGCTCTCTGAGATTGCTCCACAGAGAGCTCAAGGAGATGGCAATTCGGTGCTGATGCCGGCTGGCAGCAGTTGGGAGAGGGGAAGGAGGAGAGAGAGGGAGGAGGGGAGGGGGAAAAAGTTGGCACGGATACCAAGTTTTTCCCTAGAGAGACTGGGTGGGGGGAGCGAGAGAAGAAGAGAGAAAATGACACAGAGAAAAGGAAACAAGGAAAAGGAGAGAGAGAGAGGAGGG